AGACGTGCCTGTTCCTGATATTAAAAAACGGAGGGATTGAACAAAAAAAGTTAGTTCTTCACTTTGACTAGAAGCTACCAATGATTAATTGATTTAGAGTATAGGACGAATATGATCCTGCTTAATCATGAACTGCTTTGCTGATTTTATATTAATTTTTCCGAATCAGCGCCCACCTTGCACACAAAGTGAGGACCCAGCATTTACTTGCTGTTTTCTTGCTCGACGATTTCGCGTACAAGATTAAATTACACTACAGATTTTTCTCAAAAGATAAATACAACTTTGCTGTGACAGAAAGGACGCGGTTTGAACACTTTGAAGGAGTAAGTGGTGGCGAGTGACGACGCTTTTCTCAAGACCCTGAAGCGGTACAGCTCAGAGATCCCTATTCGGAAACAAAGACGCAGGGTGCTTCATTACCACACTGTTTAAGAAACCTCTGCTTCTTCTCTCTCCTCCGCCGACATTATTATCTCGTCTGGGGTGGACAACGCTCCAAGGCTAAAAAAGCAGGCGAACAAGAGGAGAAGCAAAATTGAGGAACCATTTATCCTCTTTGCGGAAAGAAGCATGAGGGTTTATTAAAAAAAAGAAAAAGAAAGATTTGATCTTGGCTTCTTTTCTGAACATTTCCCCATAGTAGCATTTGGCTTAGAAAGGGAAGAAGAAACAGAGGAAAGAGGAGAATGGGACGGTCTAAGAGACTGGCTTGTCTCTTTCTGTTAGTTTTGCTGGTTACCTGCGCAATTGGAGATGACCCTTACAAGTTCTACTCTTGGAATGTCACTTATGGAGACATTTATCCTCTTGGAGTTAAACAACAGGTGCAATTTTTCTTCCTTTTTCTGGTTCTTTTGATATTTTTCTCTGGCACTATTCATCATCGTGTTTGTTGACTCCCGGGTGTGTGAAATGGCAGGGGATACTGATTAACGGCCAATTCCCAGGTCCCCAGATCGAATCAGTGACCAACGATAACTTGATTGTCAATGTTTACAACAGCTTGGACGAACCTTTTCTCATCTCCTGGTTAGTCCTTGTCTCCTCTGTTACTTTTTTCTTCCTTTATAGTCTTTTACTCTGCTGTACTGTGTTCTTTTCCCTCCATACTCTTCACAAGGACAAATAGGTGATGGAATTTTCCAAAGTTCAATGGCAAATGATGTCCCTTTCATGGGAAAAACACGTGTTAGTTTAGTTATTTCTGTAGATCTGGCAGCCATAATTGCTCGAACAGCCAAAGCATAGTTAGTGTAAGTCTGATATGAAGACGGTGTTATTGGTCGTAGGAATGGAGTGCAGCAGAGGAGGAACTCATGGCAGGATGGAGTTTATGGGACCAATTGTCCAATCCCACCAGGGAAGAACTTTACTTTCGTTCTTCAAGTGAAAGATCAGATTGGTAGCTACTTCTACTTCCCTTCTCTTGCATTCCACAAGGCTGCAGGAGGCTATGGTGGCTTCAAAATTGCTAGCCGCTCTGTCATTCCTGTGCCTTTCCCTCCCCCAGCGGGGATTTCACCATCTTGGCAGGAGACTGGTACAAGAGAAATCACACTGTAAGTAGCTCGCTTTTTCATCGCTGACACCAACTCTAAGACCCGGCGCTTCAAAAAATCATATGAATTGTGAACATTTGAAAGCTTTCGCGTGGCCGTGTCACTGTTCTTATCTTTTAGGTTGTAACTGTAGAATAGTCTTTACTGTTGAAGGAATCCAATCTTAAAATTGATAATTTGATGTTTATTTTTGTAGGATTTGAAGGCCATTTTAGACGGTGGAAGTGATCTTCCATTCCCTGACGGGCTCGTCATCAATGGCCGCGGCTCTAATGGTTACACATTCACAGTTGATCAAGGTACGGAAAAAGAATTTCTTCTCTATTCTTCTAATTTTTTTGCCTGCCTGTGTTCATATGCCAATGAAGCTATAATTACTTAGACATTGACTGTTATGTGTTTGGTGGTTTGTCAGGTAAGACTTACAGATTCAGGATATCAAATGTGGGCCTGACAACATCCATCAACTTCAGAATCCAAGGGCATAAAATGCTGCTGGTTGAGGTGGAAGGAACCCACACTCTCCAAAACACTTATAGTTCTCTTGACATTCATCTTGGCCAGACTTACTCTGTATTGGTCATTGCTGATCAACCGCCACAAGACTACTACATTGTTGTCTCCACAAGATTCACCTCCCAGGTGCTTTCTACGACCTCCATTCTCCATTACAGCAACTCAGCTTCCTCTGTTTCTGGCCCTCCCCCTGGCGGCCCAACCACCCAGATTGATTGGTCTTTAGAACAAGCTCGATCACTCAGGTACATTACCCTATTTCTTTCTTGACTCAGCAGTAAAAACTAAATTTCTTGATCAATCCTTTTAAAAACTTCATGCATGCTATATATGAAACCAGGCGTAATCTGACAGCAAGCGGACCAAGGCCTAACCCTCAAGGATCATACCATTATGGTATGATCAACACAACACGTACAATTAGGCTTCAAAATTCCGCACCAATCATCAACGGGAAGCAGAGATATGCCGTGAATAGTGTGTCCTTTATTCCTGCTGATACACCCCTCAAGCTTGCTGATTACTTCAAGATCTCAGGAGTTTTCTCCCTTGGAAGCATCCCAGACAACCCCACTGGCTCCGGTGGTTACCTTCAAACTTCTGTTATGGCTGCCGACTTCCGTGGCTTTGCTGAGATTGTCTTTGAGAATCCTGAAGACACCCTGCAATCTTGGCACATTGATGGCCACAACTTCTTCATCGTAGGGTGAGTTCACCTTCCCTTAAACCTGTTAATGGATTTTTTTGTTTTTTGTTTTTGGGATCATTGGAGTTCCTTATGACAACACTCGTGAGTTGGAATTTCGCAGGATGGATGGAGGACAATGGTCAGCTGCCAGTAGGTCGAGTTACAATTTAAGAGACACGATTTCTCGCTGTACTGTTCAGGTACAGAAACTCATAAATTATCATAAACCTTTTTCATTCATCTTGGAATCCCACCTGAAAACGTAGAATTTTGCTTGTTGGTATATGTGATTATGATGGAGCAGGTGTATCCCAAGTCATGGACTGCAATATACATGCCTCTGGACAACGTGGGGATGTGGAATGTGAGATCAGAGAACTGGGCTCGTCAATACTTGGGGCAGCAATTCTATCTTCGTGTGTATTCGGCTGCAAATTCATGGAGAGATGAATACCCTATCCCAAGCAATGCTCTCCTATGTGGTCGGGCTATAGGCCATAGCATTTGAGCTCTCTATACGATAAGAAGTAAGAACCAGTTCATTCATATACGCCCAGCATCAGTAGCAGTTGTATTCAAGGCTCAACTCGAGCCACTTTCCTCCTTCATTCCTTTCGCGGTATTCATTTTTACTCCATAGAGATTTTGTTTGTCCCAAGATATGGAATAGACGATTGATCATTTGAGCCTCATTTACGATATAATATAAGTAGTGATATGAAGTAATGTTCACGAATCAATGAATCATGTTATTTTTCCTAATTTTCTACCGCCTCTTTCAGGGTTCTTCATGTTTATTATTGTCCGCACATAAAAAGTTATGGTATATCAATTATATAATTTTGTATCTGACGTGTAGGCTTCGAGTTAAGTGCCAAAATATTATTGTTCATGTTATATAATTTTGCCTGTTAGAGCTACAGCAATAAGTTGATATAAAGTTGAGAATCGAACTCCCACCCTTATTTAAAAAATGAAAATTCTGTATTAGTTGCGTTAATTTATGTCTCAATAGTGCCTTAGGGCATCCCAAACGCGCTTATCCTGGTCATAAATGGGAAAAGTACCGGGACAGAGAAACCTGGAGCGAGGGGAATGGGGAAAAATAACACGCGTATTCCACCTATTTGTTCCCTAACCTTTTCCTTCTAATGATGAAGAGATTTTGGAGGGGGAAAAAAAAACTCTTATAAATTTATCTTATTAATAATCTTTTTCGCTTCTTCACATTCTGTTTTTTGTGTTTTATATACAACTATTGATGTGTTTTGTATTTTCAATTTGAAATTGATTTTTTTTGAATTCATAATTTAACATAAATTGTATAAATAATATGGTAAAACAATATTACTGATAAAACTCAGTTATCTAATTTGAAGAGATTAAAAGAGTGAAATAAATTATTTTAAAATATTATATTTATCTTTTTTTTAAGAATTAATTTATCTGATTTAAAAACTAATATATAATTTAATGATACATATAAGTATTTTAAAAAATCGTGTATAATATATATTAAAATTAAGTAGTTTTTTAATTTTTTAAAAATTATTTAATTAGGTTTTATATTAATAATTGTATCTACTTGTGATTTTAGATACAAGGCACAAGCGTTTTAATGGTGAAAAATACAACTCAAGACATTTCATCAATCGTTAAAACGTGAGAGACAAATTTGAAAATTCATAAGAAAACTCGCAACAAGAGAAGTTACTCCCCTCATTTTTCTCCCCATTATTTTAAGTGCTCATGAGAAGCAAAAGTGGAGAGAAAATAATTAAAGGCTGGTTTGAATTAATATTTTGGAATTATAATTTACTATTTACGAATAAATAAAAAATATATATTAAATTAGTTTTATTTTAACTTATATAAAATATGTTTATAAAATTAAATCAACTTTCCCCAATGATTCTCCCTCGGGTGACGGTCGGCTGTCCTATTTTTGTGAGGAGCGATCTGGACCATCCGTGAAGATTCACCTCAGCTTTGGTTCAGCTTCGTCCAATCGATTGGCAGGGACAGTATAGTATGAAAGGCCGTCTTGTTAAGTGAGCATCTCCTTTGTTAGATCAATCCCACGATGGAGATTGTGCACAAGTGCAGAACATAAGCCCACCAGATCGAAACGTGTGCATGAATCTTGCGGGGGAAGCAATTGTATTTTTAACGTTTCTCTCTGCAGGATGCATTTTCGGTAGGAGCCTCGTACGGACGGATCACGATGCGCTTGCTTCTCGGTTGCTATATTTATGTCTTTTTGGTCGAATGCTTGATCTATAGAGATCAAAGCGCTGACATAACGCACTCACGCGATCCTTTGTAAGTCTCCAGTGGTGTAGAATACTCCACGTGGTATCTCGGTTGTGGTCGCCACCGCAGAGAATCACAACCTGATATTGGACTGCGTTTTAGGCGCCTTCGTCCGCTGAGCATAAAGTAAGGGCCTCTTCCCGCCGTTTCGTACCAGGAGTCACCATCACTCACACTGCCATTCCTGTTTCCGGAACCGCTATTCTAATCTAACCTCTTCATTGTCACAAACCCTAGTAAATTTCCGTTAGCTGCATCGATGGAGCTACGTTCTCGGAGGCGACTTCCTACTCCTGATATCGATGGTAAACATTCCATCGCTGCGATTGTATCAACTTCTTTTTTCGTACTTTCATGCCTCTGGTGTGGTTTTTGATTGTTTTTGTTTTATGATAACATGATAGGCATCAGAGGATTGGGTTTTAGTTTCTTGCTTTTTTTTTTTTTTTGACTTTTCCCTCTTGTGGTTCACTTCCGATGTCTTTGCGCTACTTTTCTCTGCATGAGAGTGATTACTTTGCGGGATAAGATTTTTAAATAGACGACAGGAGAACAGGGAGTTATTATTGCCTTGTTGGCAAACTTTGTTGCGGTCAACTGGTTTATGTCCCGTGCCCGTCTTTTCTTCGCCATTACTGTTTGGAAATTCCCATATTGTTAAGCCAGTTTGGATAGCGGCTTGAAGGTTTCCTGGTGGGGTTTAGAAAGAGGTAGGATCTTGAAGTTTTTGTGTTCTTGCTCCTCACCCATGTGCTAGAAGTCCCAGCAGTCTGGGCCAGTGCGGGGTGATCCTTAGTTAAAATAGAATGCTGAAGATTGGGTCCTTAGCGTGGGTTTACTGAATTCACTGTCTTTTCCTCCTTGCTTATTTTGATGGTTTTGTATAATGTAGCAACAAGAAATGAACAACCACCCGATGATGCCTCTGGAGAAGCTAAAACTGCTAGCGATTGTGGCAATAATGCAATTGAAGTCTCTTCAGATGGTCTTATAACCTACTGATTATTTCTTTCGGAATCGTGGGTGGCTGTTGACAGCGTGATTCTATTTTGAAGTTTTAACCACTTCAATCTAAACCTTCAAATAAAATCTCTTTCTTTTCCTCCCTGGTTTAGTATAGAAATCTTTATAATGCTAATGTTGTAGTCTATTTCGTCCTCATGACATGCCTGTTGATGAGAAATGATTTCATGTAGATGAAGCAGCTTTGAACTCCTTTCCTGACTTAAATGAAGAACCTACTTCAAGCTTTTGCTCTTCTGATGGGTTAGGCGACAGCTCTGACTCATCTCGGCCTGGAAAGAGAAGAGGAAAGAAAAGGAGAAAACTCAGCTCTAAAATTGGAGAGTCCAGTCAGGACATAGGAGTGTTGGAGCATGGGGACGATGATGGCTCCTCAGGAGTTCAGCAGCAATCAACTGAACATGATTTGGCTAGCCTGAGAAAGAAGAAAAAAACCAAAAGACCAAGAAAAAAAACAAAACAAGTGTTGTTGTGGAATGTTTGGGAAGAGCAGCATGAGAGATGGATTGATGAGAATTTTTCAGAAGATGTTGAGTTGGGTCATCAGAATGAACTAATGAATGAAACTGCTGAGGCTTCCTCTGACCTTACCATGCCGTTACTAAGATACCAAAAGGAATGGCTAGCATGGGCTTTGAAACAGGAGAATTCCGAAATTAAGGGGGGTATTCTTGCAGATGAAATGGGGATGGGAAAGACTATTCAAGCAATTGCTCTTGTCCTTGCCCAACGTGAAATCCGGCAAATGGTTTGTGAACCAGATGAAACATCCTCTTTGCCAGGTTCATCTACAGCATTGCCTTGGATCAAAGGAACGCTTGTAATTTGTCCTGTGGTTGCTGTCACTCAGTGGGTTAGTGAGATTGATAGGTTTACTCTAAAAGGAAGCACCAAGGTGCTAATTTATCATGGGGCCAAGAGAGGGAAGTGTAGGGAAGAGTTCTCAGGGTATGATTTTGTAATAACTACATACTCTACTGTTGAATCAGAGTATAGGAAGCATATGATGCCTCCTAAAGAGAAGTGTCAATATTGTGGCAAATCTTTTAGCCAGACGAAGTTATCTGTTCACCAGAGATATTATTGCGGGCCTGATGCTGAAAGAACAGAAAAGCAATCGAAGCAATTCAAGAAAGAGAAAAAAGAAGTCAATATAAAGAAGAAAATTCAGAGGAACATGGGATCAGGGAATTCAGATACCAGATGCAAGGGGTCGTCACTTTTACATTCTGTAAAGTGGCAGCGGATCATTTTGGATGAGGTCAGTTTTTATCATTATTATGGCATTGAAATGGTTCTGTTTCATGAAATAAAATCATCTGTTTACACATTTGAATTGTCCTGTTCACCCATTTGTCTAAAGTAGTTGGAGCATGGTTTCTTTCTTATTTGACTGTGCCAAGTCTTTTGCTTGTATCTTGACAAGAAATTGACCTTTATACTTTTAAATTTATAAAATAGGCGCACTATATAAAATCTAGACAATGTAACACTGCAAAAGCAATTCTTGCTCTAGAGTCTTCCTATAGATGGGCGTTAAGTGGAACTCCCCTTCAGAATCGTGTAGGAGAGCTGTATTCTCTGGTCAGTTTACCGTCTTATGTATTTTGCCATAATCTGGAAAGTTTATGTTTTAAAGATGATTTACTTGCTATGCTGTTAATACAGATACGTTTCCTGCAAATAGTTCCTTATTCCTATTACCTGTGCAAGGACTGTGATTGCAGGATTCTTGATCATAGGTATGTGTGAACTTAACTACTGGGAACATGATTTATTGTTCATTTTGGTTTTGCTTGTTTACCCTTTGAGGAACTGAATTGTCAGCTTCTTTTTCTATTCTTTTATTATTTTATCTGTTAAATGACGGTTTCCATGTTTTGTCATTTATGTATAATTCAATAGCTTAAAGCAAGCTGCTTTTACCTTGGCCAAAAAAAAAAAAAAAAGCGCTTCTCTTTTCTTTATAAAGGTTTTCTTAGAATTATTTTTCATCTCTTTACTTCTTTGAAATGCTCTATTGTGCTCTGTTTTGTTGAGTATGCAAAGGCGAGCATCCCTCTAAGCGCCCTTGTGCTTTTATATATCTTGCAACTATATTGTTAACATGTTAACTTTATGCTTCTGAGTTGTGATCATGATGCTTTTATGCAGTTCTAAGGAATGTTCAAACTGCCAGCACAGTTCTGTCAGACATTTCTGTTGGTGGAATAAAGTAAGTTTTGTAGTTTATTTGCCTTTTTTGCATTTGTTCCAGTCAAGAAAAACAAATCCTTGCTGTTTGATACAAATTAGTACTGACATATTCTGTTATTGAATATTGATAAGTTTGTAGCCACGCCAATTCAATTATATGGAACCGATGATCCCGGTAGGAGAGCAATGATATTGCTTAAACACAAGGTTTTAAAAAATGTAATATTAAGGCGCACTAAATTAGGCCGAGCTGTTGATCTCGCACTTCCACCTAGAATCGTAAGTTATTATTTGCAATGTGGCAAAGTTTGCGATTTTGAATATAGAAAAGGTATGTAGTGATCTCTTCCGTCAATTCCTTGCAGGTTTCACTGAGAAAGGATAGCCTGGATATAAAAGAGCAAGACTATTATGAATCATTATATAATGAGAGCCAGGCGCAGTTTAATACGTATGTCACATATTCTGCTTACTATAGAAATACAATGAAGATAAAGTGAAGCAGATTCTTTTGTTGTAATAACTAAAATTTAACTTTTATTTTTCACAAGATGTTAATCACCAATATATGCATGAAATTTATTTTTAATCTGGAGGAAGAGAAGAGCCGTATATTTTTGTTGACTCTTTTATTCGTTGTCTTTCTGCTTCCTATCTAAGTAATCAATTTGATTCTCCATCACAGATATGTGGAATCGAATACTTTGACAAATAACTATGCTCATATATTTGACCTCCTCACCAGACTCCGGCAGGTGTGTGTTTATTTCAATGGAAGAGGAAAGAACTTTGACATTTACACCTTATGATGCAGCCCCTTCAAAACTCTCTCTCTCTGTCTCTCTCTGGTCCCTTCCCCCGATTTTAAATTTGTTAAATGAAGGATGATAGACATTATTATTTGAGGCCTGTGTATTTGTATGGAACCATTGGATGTCCTTGACCTTGAATTTCCCACATTTTGATCATATCCCTATATTGTCTTGTTATTTGATTTTGTAAATTTCTTTTACTCTAATGATAATATGGAACTTTATTTTGCTCTAAAATTTTAGTGCAAAGTGAGTGACATGTTACTGAAGATATGACTTCCTGGGTAGACTGTCTAGAACTAAGAGTCTTAGACTGGTATAAATCATTTTCAATTTTTAATAATTTAGTTTTTTTTATCTCTTTGAAATATCTGATTTTTTATTTCCTTAACAATGATTAATAGTTTTTTTAAGAATAGTAGGGTGTTCTATTGGCATGACTTCATTTATTTTTTTGATTTACATGAATAGGGTTTCCATACTCTTCATTTTAGTCTGGATTATTCTTGTGAGAACTGGGAGGTAGGTTCTTTTAGTACTTGTCGAGTAATGAGCAGATTTTCATTTCTGTTCTTGTTCTTGCTCCTTCATGTAAGATTTTTCTCTCTGCCGACAAAGAAGTTCTACAAGTTACGAAGGAAACTTTGAACTCATTTTGGTCTTGGGTTGACGATAGGAATTGAAGTCTGTGAGATGTGATTTTCTGCTGTTCCTCAGTAGCTTGATAGTAGAGCATTCTGCTGTTAATTGATCTCAAATATCTCTTTCTTGGATTACAGGCTGTTGACCATCCGTACCTTGTGGTATATTCTCAAGCTGCATCATTAAAAGCTGGGGCTGACGTTAGCGTTGACGATGTTGAACAAATATGTGGCATTTGTCATGAGCCTGCAGAAGATCCTGTCGTTAGTTCATAGTCCCCTTACTTTTTATCTTCTGTCCGTTGGTTCTTTACAGCAAAATTGGTGTACTATTGTATCCTTCAACTACATTTTTCCTGTTGTTTTCAGGTTACCTCATGTGAACACATCTTTTGTAAGGGATGCTTGATAGACTTCTCTGCTTCCTTGGGGCGAGTGTCATGCCCTTCATGCTCCAAATTACTTACTGTTGATTTAACTTCAAACAAGGATGTAGGGGATCAGTCTAGAAAAACAATAATAAAGGGGTTCAGATCCTCAAGCATTTTAAATAGAATTCGGCTTGAGAACTTTCAAACAAGTACTAAAATAGAGGCATTGGTATGTGACATAAGTGAGTTACATGATATATTTATTGTTTTGGGCTTTCTATTGTCTAGAAAGTATGAGTAGTTTAGCTAAGCATGTTTTTATGTTTCTTTTTGTTTGTTGTTTTATGAAGCATGAGTTACATGATATATTTTTTAATTGTTTTGGGCTTTCTATTGTCTAGAAAGTATGAGTAGTTTAGCTAAGCATGTTTTTATGTTTCTTTTTGTTTTTGTTTTATAAAGCATGACATTTATAGGCAGTAAATAATAACATCGGTTACACAAGCATGTTTTATGGTTCAACTGCACATTGGAAAAGATAACCTATATTCTCTGTCCGATGCATGCCTTTTACAATCCCTATACCCCTGTGCCTTACAAAGCTGAAATGGCTGTAGAGAGAAGAAATTCGATTTATGGTAGAAAGGGATGGCTCCGCAAAAGGGATTGTTTTTAGCCAATTCACTTCATTCTTGGATCTCATAAACTATTCCCTGCTCAAGGTAATTTTACATGTGCTTTTCTATATTATTAATGCAAGATTCATTGCAATAATCATATGATGTCTGAATTGCAGTCTGGTGTTTCTTGTGTTCAATTGAATGGAAGCATGTCATTAGCTGCTCGGGATGCAGCCATTAAGAGATTTACTGATGATCCAGAATGCAAAATTTTTCTCATGAGCATGAAAGCCGGTGGTGTTGCCCTCAATTTGACCGTAGCATCACATGTGAATAATCTTCTTTATTCGTTGTGTTTCATGTAGAATTCATCAGTTTGCTTATTCAACTGTGAAATTCATCAAATTTGTATATAATTGTTGCCTAATCTATCTCTTCTATCTTTTCACATATGGATCTATATACTTGGCATAGGTTTTCATTATGGACCCTTGGTGGAACCCAGCCGTGGAGCATCAAGCTCAAGATAGAATTCACCGGATAGGGCAATATAAACCAATCAGGTGCTTCTTGCGCTCTCGTACTCTTAAGCTTAGAGTAGGCATGAGGCAATGGAAAAATTAATGGAAGCAGAGGTGTTCCTGATGGAGTTCTGACTTGGTTTTGTTTACTTGGTCAGAATTGTCAGGTTTGTGATCGAAAACACTATTGAGGAGAGGATTTTGAAGCTGCAAGAGAAGAAGGAGCTAATATTTGAAGGGTAAGTTGGCTTGACAGGTGTCATGTCAAATTGTCAATATATACTTATTTTTCTCCCTTTCCTCGATAGGACTGTAGGCGGCTCTGCTGAGGCTCTGGGCAAACTCACGGAGGAAGACATGAGATTTCTATTTGTTACCTGATCAGTGCAGATTCCCGCTTTTGAACAGTTTTCTTGACGCTGGATTGAAGTGGGGCCACTATAGTGGGGTGAGAGTGTGGTGGCCCGAGGACTTGGACAATCACCCAAAATCTGTGTGTTCGTGCTTTTGTTTTTTCGCAAGTCCTAGAGTCTAATTTCCGACTCAGCAACATGATCATGCGTAGCTTTAGCGAAACTTCCGAGTATCTTCAGCACTTGTATTGTGGGTCTCCTCATCCACATTTGGAGTCATGCCCATTCCTTTCAAACCTATCCTGGATAAATGTTTTCCTCTTTTGAGAGTGAAGTTTGAGGCATAAGCTTATCAACTTTCAACTTCCTCAATATGTGGCAGTGCAGTGTAAGGATTCTTTAGAAGCTGTACTACTTGCTCATGTTCTGATGTTGGAAATAACTTTTTTTTTCTCTCTCAAATTGTTGGGGAGTTCTATTTCGTTGGAAATGAGCAGACTTCTCTCAAAAAATTATTTGTCATAGCAATAATGAAATGTGCAAAGTCAGTTAAATCGAGCTCCTCTTCTTTTATTTTATCAATCCATTGCCTTGTACGTTTTTATGGTGAATTTTCTTTTGGTATAAATCATGCACTTGATCATTTGAATTTATAATCTCATATTTAAGACAATCTTAATAAAAATATTTGATTTTAGCTGGCATTGACCTCGACTTTATTGTGGATTTTATTAGTGGAAGCTCATTTTGACAAAGAAAATCTAAAAATCCACGCAAAACAATTAAAAAATAAATAACTTCTCCCTTCTAATTAAATTAATATATGTATATATTTTTATATACTATTATTATTTATCCTATAACAAACCCTGTTTATTAATATTATTAACACTTTATGAAATTTACTTGTTTTAATCGAATTAGATAAAGTTATATTAAATCTATAACTATAAGTCTTCTCTTCCGAAGAAGGGTAGATGGCTAGATGCGGGTGCGCCACTTTCATTTTCATATTTGAATGACTTTTAAAGAGGCGAGCGACTAACCGGCAACCTCTCGGCGATCACTGACCACGTGTCTACGTGTTTCCTTTTCATTGGGGCACAGACACACGGCCCCCCACAAAACTTTCATACGCGCACTCGCACGCGCTCTTCGCTGCCGCCGCCACTGCGTTTTAAATAAACTATTTCTCCTCCTTAATGCCCCAAAAAAAAACTCCTCATTTCTTCCCCCATTGTCCTCTTCTTCTTCCACTGAAGAGCAATTTTAGGCAGCATAGCAAGATGATTCAGCTACTCTACACTGTGATTTTTGGTCAAATGATTCTAATTCTTACACTTCTTTTCAAGACCCCGCTCAGGAAGCTTATGATTATTACCTTGGATCGGGTCAAGCGAGGTCGGGGCCCCGTCGTCGTCTCCACTGTCGGTGCTACATTGCTCATCGTCCTTGCTTCCAGCCTTTATAGTATGGTCACGATCCAGCGACGAGTCCTTGAGGCTGGACTTGTCAATCCCACTGATGAGGTTCTGATGTCCCAGCACATGCTTGAAGCATCTCTAATGGGTAATTTCCTATCGTCACATCTCATTTTTGTTTCCTCCGAATGTTGATTTTCTGTGAAATTGTTGATTTTTTTTTCTTGTTTGAAGTTTCTTGGTTCTCGATTGCGGACTTGCGGGGATCAAAACCTAGCCTGGACTATCGCACTGCCTTTCGCTTAATTCGATCCTTTACTTGTTTGATAAGAAATCTGAATGAATGGAATCTGATGTTTATGATTACTGGAAAGTGGAAATATATAACAATCCAGTTAAGATTTGTGGATCCAGTGTCTGCGGATTGTGCTGAATTACACCCTCATGTTAAAATATTACCCTTCCAATAAAGGGGAAGAGGAGCCTGGAAAACTTATTAATCTTAGTTAAGGCATATGGGACTATTAGCTTTGAGGACTCTGCTAGCTTATATACAATACATTGATATTATTCACAAAGAAAGCGCTATGCCTCAGCTTATCTGGAGCAAACGTGAGTCGAAGGATGGGATTCTGGGCGTTCCCCATTTGTATATTGCAATCTGTTATGGTCTAAGTTGGAGTTTCCCGTTCAGTATATCATACATGGATGTTCGGAATGTTTGGTTTCTACCCTGTTCTGAAATTGTATGATCAATTTTATACGAGAGCTTCACTTCGTTTTGGGGTCTCATTCCACTGCATTTGTGTTAGACTGCATATTTCAGGTGTATGAGATTTTTTCTTAGGGTGTGGGTGTTTGGAATTTGGAGTTGCCACGACTGAAATTTTCTTCAGCATGCCTATTATATTTGATTTTCCCCTCAAAATTTATGGATTCTTTGAGTGAGAACTGAGAAACATTATAGACCTTTTGGCTAATCCTTCTTGATTCTTATGACAAATCTAACAATAAAATGGATTTTTTATGGTTATGCACTGAAACTTCTGGATTGTGTAGACCATGTTATGTGCTTTACAACTGTTTTTTTTTTTTTTTAAATTCTTTTACAATGTAGTTTGTGGTATACTCCAACTGGTTACCTTCGACCAGATGGAATTCTTGGTTCTATATAATTTTTTTTTTTTTTGGGATGAATTTTTGCTACATTCTTTGATATATATTATTTGTTGAAATTGAGTTTTTACACGTTATGTATGCAGGATTTGTGCTTTTCCTTTCTTTGATGATAGATAGGTTGCATCATTACATAAGAGAGCTTCGATTACTCAGGAAGACCATGGAGGCTGTTAAGAAACAGAATCGAAGTTTTGAGGATGGTAAAAACAGCAGTTCTGAAGAGCATAAAGCATTGACGGCGGAAATTGCAACACTGAAGAACAAAATAAAGAATCTGGAATCTGAATGTGAGGTTGAAGGAAGCAAGGCTAAGACTTTGGAAGCTGAAGTGGAGGCTCTGAAAAAGCAATCTGAAGGGTTCCTCATGGAATATGATCGGCTCTTGGCAGACAATCAGAGTCTTAGGAGTCAGTTGGAGGCGATTGACCAGAGTTCTACTCATCTGGAGAACAAAAAGAGCATGTGAGGGTTCAAACTCCTAAGAATGCAGTTTCAGTTTTGCTGCTTCTGTTATGTTGCCAAACGTCATGGGTTTGAAACATAGAGCATGAGGTCGTAGAGAGATATAAATGATAAATGAAGAACGGAGGGATGCTTTTGTATCTTTATTAAACTGGCTGTAGTTAAAAGCAGTTGATATACTTATTAATGTACATTTATTAATGTACATGTAATATGGCCAACTCTTAATCCATTTCTTGTGATGTTTAGATGTTTGCTAAATGAATGCGCGCCCTTTTGTAACTTGGTACCAGAATGGAACCCTAACCTTTCGGTGCCCCTTGCTTCTGCCTCTTGGGTATGTGATGGAATATTTTTGAATTAGACGACATATATACATACAGGCATACATATTTATTTATCAAAATCTGTGACAGGTTAGAACATATCTTTATAATTAACTTGATATTTGACCTAAAAAGAAGAGAGGAAAACTGTGTCCTAGCTCGTCATGCTCCTACTGAAGTTCAAGTACGTTTCACGGAGTGGTTTATCCACCACAAGTTTCACAATCTAATGAAGCATTACTTTCTAAGTAAAATGGAGAGAGTTTTTGTGCGAATTCAAAAGCAGCATAAGTTGCAAATGAAGGCTAGCTTGCATTAGCAGGCGAAGCCATCTTTGACTGTTAGCTCTGTATTTATTTACATATTTAAATATTTTTCCTTCTTCCCTTTGACCTGGCTATCCTATCAGGCTCCTGATTTTCTGAACTGCTCTCTGCATTTTTGCTACTGAATTTTGATGGGGTTACTCTTATACAACAATGAATTACTGATGCAATATAGCGGCTTTATAAACCAAAAGAATCAAATCCTTCATAATAGTTAGGGAATTGTAAATTGTTTCGCTGTAACCATCATCCCCCTCTCACTCAGTGCCATTAAATGCAGGCATGGCAAACCGTCCATTGTTGACCTGCTAATATGGCACCATCATGTTTAGCGATAACCATCGACATACCTGTCCTTTTCATTGCTATCTATTTGGGTTCACGTCTCTGCAATATGGTTTTCCCCTTCTCGTCTGATTTCATTGTACCTACAACCATCATCAACTTAATCTTGGTGATCATCATGACACAATAACTGAAAGGGCATAGTACTTTAGGAATAAAATAAGCATGTTGCTTAAAAAATAAAGAGTTATATGTAATTTTTAAGTATTTGTTATTTAATTCTAAAAGGAAAACGTGGTTTAAAAAAAAAAAAAGGCACGGTGAACAGATCAAAAATACCAACATAAGCAATCCTTTATTGGCTCAACATTCTACGACGTGCCTTTTCTGGCCGATGGATTCCATTTCTGCAGCTAATGCCGAGATCTTTTTTGTTGGCCATTAATATCTTCACTAATTGTACTTAATTGACATAAGCAGGGTCAAGAATCCAACAGGTTAATTCTAATACGACTCTGCTCAACTAAGTAGGCAATTTCGCCTTTGCCATTTGAAATCGGACTGGGACCATAAACTTGCCTGCTGATTTTTTAGAAAAAGAACCTGCGCCAATCTCGGTTACGTTTTTGCAGACTATGAATTTCTTCTGAAAAGAACATTATTCATGTATCGTATGGAGAACCTGAATAGTTCTGTACAAATGTGTAGTGGCATGCGGCGACAAATGGGTCCTTGAACCCACCGGATGACGCAGAAAATTTTGACTTGCAAGTTATCCACTCACCACTACTTCTGCTCTGAGAAGTGATAGCTTCTCCCCTCAGAATGCTTCAATATTAAAGTAGGATAAAAGTTTAGATAAGTTAGTTCTTAATTTGCAAGGGTCAAATAAGCTTTAAGGCTCAATAAGCATTTAAAGAGATGCTTATGGTAACAGGGTCTTGACAGAATCATGATTCAAACATATACCTTTATAAAGCATGAAAGAAACACATTTCTATGAACCGTACTAACCTTCCCTGTGTGCTTCAACTTTTTAGGTAGAGCATTAAAGGTGAGTGCATTCGTGCGTACAGCTTGATCCATTTCCTACATTTCAGACTCTGATTTGGCGCAGTGACCAATACAGACAAGCCTGATTTCAAATCGTGAATTCATTTGAAGAGTCATTTGTATGCAATGCTTCACCAACTTCTGCGGGCGAAAGCGATGTGCATGGAAGTGGATGTTTGTGTGGGGGCACAAATCAACGTGACGTACCCAATAAGTGATGCTTCTTGGAAAAATCACAAACATTGAGAGAATTTTCCAATCTATAGTCTTCATGTACTCGAATGCAGCCAAGAAACTTCATTTAATATAGAAATTAATGCACGCCACTCGATTGTTCACGCGCGTTTCGGTGTTGGAGAAAATCTTCAAGTCTACAAAGGTATGAGCGTCGATATTTTAATCTACTATGAACCAAATTCCTTCTATATAGCTGCTTCGTGAGGAAACAAAAGAAAATAAGGACGTAGTATCAAACACCTAATGCGCACAAGACAAGACATGAGTTTCCATCGGTAATTTTCATTCGGATCTTTCAGAAAACGATAAAAAGCAAGAAGCTCTAGAAGTTTATCCAAAAAGGGTCCGAGGAAGATCAGGTATAGCTGTAAAGTAAACTGACGACAGAGAACAGTACAGTTCGTGAATCGTGTGTGAAACAAAGTCCAAAAGGAGCAGCCGAGTCAGCACCCTAAAATTCCATTTTTAAATCGTTATTTTATTATTTGGCTGCTGTCTCCCACCCTCCGCCCGAAACAGGACGAAAAATTCTCTGCAACTTGCGCTACCCGGTCTCTGGCTTCTGCTTATAAATTTCGGGAGAACCACACCAGAATGATCGTAGCAAAACAAAACAAAAAAAAAGGCGGAGTCCCAGAAAGATTCACGACCTCATATGGCAGTCTCCATCGACGTTCCAATAATCAGCAAAATCCAATCTTCCTTAACCTCTATTCTTTCGAATTTTCATGCAGGATACTTCAGAATCAGCCTGTCTCTCTCAAGCCAAGCCTTGTTATGGAAAATCCTGAAAGAACAAATCCAAGACGCTCATACTCTCAGACATATATTCTCAGTAATGCCCTCCACGGCCTTCATTCTCCTTTGGTCCCTCTCACTACTCACACTCACGGCCCTCTCTCTTCTCTACCTTCTCAGGTGCTTCTTTCACTTCGACATGGTGAGGGACGAATTCCTGAACAGCGTCGGAGTAAACTACCTTTTTGTCCCTTGGATTTGCTGCCTTATGTTGCTTGAATCATCGCCGTTTCTTCCCCGAACCGCAATTTGTCATCAAGTACTATGGAGTGTGCTGGTGATGCCGGTGTTGGCGCTGGATTTGAAGATTTACGGCCAGTATTTGACCAAGGGGAAGAGGCATCTAGCGATTGTGGGGAATCCGACGAGCCAGTTGACGGTGATAGGGAACATGGTGGGGGCGCAGGCGGCGGCCCGTGTGGGCTGGAGGGAGAGCGCGATGGGGATGTTTGGGGTTGGGATGGCACATTACGTGGTACTGTTCGTGACGTTGTATCAGAGGTTGCCTGGAGAACACAATGGAGGTGTTCCGGCGACGCTGAGGCCGGTGCTGTTCTTGTTCTTTGCGGCTCCGAGTGTGGCTAGCTTGGCTTGGGGCTCCATTATCGGCCACTTCGATTCTGCCTCCAAGATGCTATTTTTCCTCTCCCTCTTCCTCTTCATGTCGCTGGTAATTCTTTCTTTCTCATCATCACGTGTTTACAGTTTCATCATTGGGGTTTCTGCTACTGAATAAATTCGTTGGAAAATATGAACAGATAACGAGGCCGGTGATATTCAGGAAGGCGATGAGGAAGTTCGACGTGGCATGGTGGGCTTATTCGTTTCCTCTGACGGCTCTGGCATTGGCTTCGGCTCAGTACGCCGAGGAGGTTAAAGGAGCCATGCCGCATGCGCTCATGTTGCTTCTGTCTTCCATCTCCGTCGTGGTGTCTCTGTTCTTAATGGTCGTCACTGTTCTTCATACCAACTTACGCTTCTCGTAGCACTGTGCAACAGCATGATCCAAGATTTTTCTGTTCTTGTAATTTTGTGTACATATGAAAAATTCTCACGTTATAATCTCCCCCCAGAAAATTGGGGTTCTCTCATTGAATTATCTCTATGATCTTTTTCCATTTTTTGACCAGCGCTGTATGATCCTTTTTTGGTTTCTTCTTCGAGCAGTAATTGTTATCACACACAAGTAAAACTAAAAATATTATTTATTTTACTGTTATTGACATACGAGTAAGTTTATATTTCTAAATCCTCGTGTGCCAATACAAAATTTGAGATTTATTAAATAAAATGGAAAAGTAAATTCTTTCCTCAGATTTACCCTCCCTCAATTATTAATTATATAACTTGACGTAATCTCTGAATTTTTAACGCATCGCAGTTAAAATTAAGACTCAGTTGTATATAGGGCTTGTGGAAGAAGAAAGATCTGCAGAAAGTAGGAATGAGTCGCAAAGCCACGAGAAGGAAGAGTGCGAAGAATAGACAAAAGCGTGGACGGAAAATAAGAGAATTGAAAGCCACCATTTTTCCCTAGTTTAGTTTCCCCCCAGTTTAGCCTTACATTTCCCTAACAAGCCAGCCACCAAAATTGGGTAGAGGAATCTTGTGGCAAGTGTATAAAGGAATCTTATCGCAGTAAGGTGTTATTTATATTTTTATTGTATACAGCATAAAAAATCTCGAAACATCACAACTAATTATTTACATGCATATGATAATACTCTTGTAGTACTTAATATAGAACCTAATTAGAGAATTAATGTTGGTCCTATATGTAAAATCTATTTTATATGTTTACCAATTTTTTTTCAAATTAGCCTTATTATTATTTTTCAACAATAATTAAGTAGGAGAGGGAGGGAGGAAATTAAGAAAAATACTTAGGGTATTAAAAAAAAATATCATATTAACTAATTTAACTAATAACCTTAATCTAAGGACCCAATGAGTAATAAATAAGTAAAACAAGTTATCTATACAGTATGGAACAAGTAGATCCTAAAATAAAAACCATGTTTTTATGATGTGTTTGGTTCAAGGGGAATGGAATGGAAGGAAGGGAGAAGAAATTATTTATATTCTTAATGTGCACAGGTTACCAAGTTAATTAGTCTTGCTCATGCTTGTTGTCTCCTATGATCCACAATATGCTTTATTTAGCCTTGTTTAGGGCTCCCCCCCCCCCCGGCGGCTATTTATGAAACATTATATGCTCTTTTCTGTTGGTTAAGTTTTTGTTTATATTTCTAAATCCTCGTGTGCCTGTACAAATTTGAGATTTATTAAATAAAATGGAAAAGTAAGCTTTTTCCCAGATTTCCGCTCCCTCAGCCATTGATTATAACTTGACGTAACCTCTGAATTTTTAACGCATCGCAGTTAAAATTAAGACTCAGTTGTATATAGGGCTTGTGGAAGACGAAATATCTGCAGAAAGTAGGAAGAAGCCGCAAAGACACGAGAAAGAAGAGTGCAAATAATGGAGAAAAGCGTGGACGGAAAATAAGAGAATTGATCAAAGCCGCCACTTTTCCCTAGTTTAGTTTCCCACCAGTTTAATCTTACATTTCCCTAACAATACAGACTCCAAAATTGGGTAGAGGAATCTTGTGGCAAGTGTATAAATTAAAGGAATCTTATAGCAGCGTGTAAATTTTTAGTTTGCAAGCGTATGAATATTCTGAAATACATTAAGGTGTTATTTATACCTTTATTATACACAGGATAAAAAATCTCGAAACATCAGAAGTGATTATTTACACGCATATGGTAATACTCTTACAATACTTAATATAGGACCTAATTAAAAAGTTAGTGTTAGTCGTATATGTAAAACTTATTTCATATATTTACTAATTTTTTTCTTCACATTAACTCTATTGATATTTTTCAACAATAATTAAATAAGAGAGGGGGGAAGAGAATTAAGAAATTTTTCTTAATCAACATGTTAATTAACATTCTTAATATTAAAAAATCATATTAACTAATTTAATTAACATTCTTAATATATTCAAATTAGTTAATTAAGTCTTACATTAAAGACTGAATGAATAATAAATAAGCAAAACAAGTTATTTCTGCAGTATGGAACAAGAAGATCCTAAATGTTTTTATGATGTGTTTGGTTCAAGGGGAAGGGAATGGAAGGAAGGGAGAGGAAATTATTTATATTCTTAATGTGAAGAGGTTAATAAGTTAATTAGTCTTGCTAATGCTCGTTGTCGCCTATGATCCACAATATGCTTTATTTAATCTTGTTTAGGGCTCCCCCCCCCCCTCGCTGCTTATGAAACATTATATGCTCTTTTCTGTTGGTTTAGTTTTCGGGGATGCCAATGTACGTAGTTTCAATAATTTTTAAATTAGAAAGTGTCGATAACCTTCCCACATATTGATTGATGCTTCATTTTTTCCCCCCTTCTCTCTGTGTGTGTTTTTGCGCATTGACAGACATTTTTGGTTAAAAATCTTAGTGAGTGTCCCCTTCTACCCTGATATTATGCATGGAATATTTGTTCCCCGTCCTAGTTGGGATATATGGTTTCCACTTCTAATGGAATTTTTTGTTGCAGTGTGCACGGGAATAATATATTGCTTTTCTTTATGAGTTATTTCTTTCACACTTGTTTTTCTTGTGTAATCAAAAGGTCACATTATATAACAAGACTTAAAAATGAATTATATTATTGGCTGCTCATGTTTAGAGGATCTCCTTGAAAGAATAATTGAGTGATATTAGTTAGTATATGCTTTCTTTCCACGCTCTTTTATGCTGTTGTCTTCATCCTATTCTGGCCATTCCAGTAGCCTCTCTCCTATTTGCTAGACTGCTGTAATCTTCATTTACTTATTCCATGGACCAGTCAAAATTAGAAAATAGATCATCTTGGAATGCAATTATAGTTTCAACATGCTAGCTTCTTCTGCTTCACAGACAGTCTCAAGAATTATGTCATTTTTTATATTTCGTTTTGGGAAGGGAGGCTGTAGAAATTAATGGGGTTTGAATCTGACATGGGCTGGTCATCCAAAATTAGGTTTGAGGAATTGAATCAATTGATATGTGGAGAATTATTTCACATGTTAAACTTCATCATTTAATTTTATATAATGTTTCAATTTAATTTTTTAACTCTAAAAAATATTTTTGGTCATTTAATCCTAAAACTATTAGGTTTAAATGATGATTTTTTGCAGCAGTCATAGGTGTCTTAAAAAATAAATTTAATATATTAGCATTTGAGAATATTTTATCAGTATTTAAAATCTTAATATCATCATTTTTGTTAACAATTTCAGGGTTAAAAACCTTTTAAAGTTAAGGGTCCAAGTTAAAACTATGTATGAAATTAAAAGAATAAATGTATAATTTGCCCTATTTTACACCTACAAAACGGATTTTATGGTTTCATACACGGGAAAAAGAATTGAATATAAAGGAATAATCAAATAAACAAAATTTAAGAAAGAAAAGGTGGGTTGGCGGTTCAAACGAGTTATCTTCATTGGCAAAATGTTAGTTCGTTCAGATGGGCTTTTCCAACCTGGCCCACCGAACCCACAGTTCGCTTGCGGTCACAAGTTGACCCTTATTCCGCGGTCACAGGTTGAGCCTTATTCTTAGTCAGGTTTTTTTTAAATGGATTTTATTTATTTATTCATATTCTGAGTTTCTTTCCCAAGGAAATATTTCGTTAATGTTTATTATAATTTACAAATATACCTCGGCAAAAGAATTACATCCCGCAGTACCAGGACTTTTTCTTGGGCCGAAAAGAACCGAGTATATTATGAAGAAACCAAAAGTGGACTACAAAAGAAGCCCAAACAAGTCAAAACTCGGCCTTTGCCAGTTGCGATGGACACCAAAAAAAAAATTGAAAAGTTTTTCTATTTGTGCATTTTACGCCATCCTCTTGCAATATTTTACTTCAGGCCTTGGATGAACTCCTCAATTTCTCATACTTCGGGGAAAAAGGGGGGGGGGGCTGCTATTTCATTCCTTGATCTTCCCGGCACTATCATATTTTGATCGAACCATACTTTATAATTCAATACTAATTTTCTGAGGAAAAAAAATTATTACTTTTTGTATCATTTTCTATACGGAAAATAGGCAACATTGAGTTATTCTGGATCAAAATGGAAAAGAACAAAGAAAAAAGGAGGGTGGACTCTTGAACCATTCTCATGGCTCCAACGTATCAAACCAAACCATAAAGCAGATTCTACCAATTCTGGTTCCTGCGGTTCGAAGTCTCTCTCTTTTCACTCACTTTTTGTATTGCTTTAACCTTTCTGTGGCTAGTCATCATGTTGGGACCTACTATTATGTTTGAATAAACAGCATATCCAAATAATCTTGAGATATTTCGTGTAGACATCCTGACAAGATCAAACCCAAATTGTTCTCCATTCTGAGGCCCAAACAACGTAGATGCTTCGACAAAACTATAAAAGGGTATGCCCAGTATAATAATTATTTTTTAAAAAAAATGCTTCTCTATGGACAGAGTCTTGACACAGTGGAAGTGCGTCTACAAAATCGAATTTTTCCAAGAAGAGCCTTCATTGACCAAGTGTCTTTATAACCTGCCCCTTGCTTACACAATATTAATAAGATTTGATTGAGTATTGGTATTGAGTTTACTTTGAACTTTCAATTCCGGCAATCCTATACCATCCACTGGGTTTTGACAGGACTCTTGCCTTCAAGATAAATATGCAAGAAAAAATCAATCAAAATTAGTGCTTCAATAATCAATATTTATTAAATCTATGACCATATCTTGCATACAAGGTCGCCTAACCTAATGTGATATTTTGCTGCACATGAGCATATTCTTGCGATGCGTTCAAAACTGGGACCTTTATTTTTATTGATGTTGTTATTTAAGTTGGTTTAGAGTTCTGAGAATTTAAATCCTATACCCACCATAATAGACACATGAACTTACAAAGGAGCGAATGAGAAAGGGAC